GCCGTATGCTGTTGTGTCGTGGCGTAACGAAGGAAATATTACATATAAGAGAAGCAGGAAGTGGGGCGAGAAGCAAAAAGAAAATAGCGCTAAAAGTAAAAAAGAGCAAGAAAGAAAAAGAACTGATAAATATTCAAGAAGAAATAAATGAAAATCTAGACAAAAAAATAAATGTCAGGAGGAAAGAAATAGAAGGAACGCTGCACAGTTCTGCACTTCCTTCATTGCTTCAAGATTCGTTCTCTTAGTGCAAAGCTGCCTGATTTTTTTCTGCTACTTTTTTGGGAAACAACAATCAGCAAAACATGGGCCAGCAAAAAAGAAACGACACATTTACAGAGATGGGAAAAGTATCAACTGGCGCAAATGGAAAGCTGTCAAACATTATACTATCCGCATGCTTTTATTTTGCTTGTTTGTTTGCTACCTGTTCGGCAGCTTTCATGTTATATTCACACGAACAGCTCCAAATCGCGACATGATGCCCACAGATACTGCAATGTGCGGTGCAAAGCCTGTAGAAGCACACAGTGAAGCGTGGAATGAAGTTACGCGATCAGATTGAAATTAATGTGCTTTTCATTTGTGCAAGCTTTGAAATAATGGTAACCATGAGTCCAGAAGAGGCATGAGAACTCTATTGCTGCCTATTCTCGTACAGATACAATGTCACTGAAGTTTGCTTATCGCGAAACGGGGCTTTAGGTTGCCTCTGCTTCGTTTCAGCACGTAGAATTTCCCACACTGCGTCTGTCAGGTCGGATGTTGCATGCCCCTATTTATTAAAGTAATTTTTGATCACCTGGCACCACTTGAGACAGCTTACGCACGTTCAGGCGCACTCTTTTGACCTGATCAGACGATGAAGGTTCGGTTATCTTTAGAAATGTTTGGTGATTCCACTTGTTGACCATGATAAAGATATATTGAGGCATTGTTGCAACAGAGCCCCGGCTGTCAACATTGCAACCTAAAAGCCCAGAAAACCATGGTTACACAAAGGTTACTGAGGAATTTATGTTATCGGTTCTTGCAGCGAGGGTCAGTGACAATGGCTTGTAATTAATGCACTTTGTTATATATTTAAGACCAGTTCACATTTTCTGACACTGCCTTTGGGCTAAGAGGAACAGCTTGGTGCAAATGTTTTCTGTTTAGAGGCAGCCTTGTGAGGCACAAAAAATATCACGCATGCTGCGCGTCCAGTCGTTTTTGCGGCTTTAGCATATGTAGAAACAAATGAGAAGAAGCGCAGATATCACGTGACTGCACGAGGGGCGTGTTCATATTTTCAGCATTCGATTAACAGCACAATTTCAATGAAAAGCGGCGTTCGCGTATGTATAAAGTGCCCAGCGAAATATCCACACCGGATGGGTTTCGCACCCGAGTAACCTTTTTCGAGTACATACATGAATATTTGTGCTTTTTTTGAAGATGCACTGTTTTGAAGAAGTTGGTCTCTACTTGTGCAACCAGAAAAGGACACCCCCAGAAGAGTAAGTGAAGTTCGACGTTAATCAGATTGTTTAGAAAGACACGCACAGGCAGTGTCAAGATTATGAAAGCGGCCGTGGTTTGAATTATGAAATGATGAAGCACAAAGAAAACGGGAACACATTTGGGCAGCCACGAATAAGTTCGAAAGTGCTATTAGTCGAAACTGTTCCTGTATAATTTATTGCGACGTGTTTCATGTGAAATTACACTCCACAAAAGCAAGCCTGAGTCGAAAGCTTCCAATTTTTGGGAACAACCAATGAAAGTGATTCTGCAGTTTACCGGAGCCCCCTTTGTGAACAAATAGCATTTTTGTACGGGAACATTGTCCAATCTTTCTGATTGGGATGATCTAAACATAGCGCCGAAGTGGCAAAGATTTAAGGTTGGCTTAACTAGGGAAGCGAAAAATGACGTACTAGGGGATGACTGTCGTGCTTGGATACGCACTTCGTTGCAGCTTAGGGTAGCTGCCATGAAGTTGTGTGATGCTATGCTAAGTGGTGCAAGTTGATTGATTGATATGTGGGGTTTACCATCCCAAAACCACCACATGATTATGAGAGACGCCGTAGTGGAGGGCTTCGGAAATTTCGACCACCTGGGGTTCTTTACCGTGCACCCAAATCTGAGCACACGGGCCTACAACATTTCCGCCTCCATCGGAAATGCAGCCGCCGCAGCCGGGATTTGAACCCGTGACCTGTGGGTCAGTAGCCGAGTACCTTAGCCACTAGACCACCGCGGCGGGATTAAGTGGTGCAAGTTCGATTCACTGCACTGGCATCAGCATTTCGATAGAAACAAAGTGCCACTAAAAGGGAATAAATTCGCGGATGATAAAGGTACTCCTTAATGTGAGTTTTGGCCGCATCTTCGTGTTGGCACAATGGCAACTGGTTTTTAAGTTTTGACTATCCGCAACTGTAGCAATGTAACACTCAGTGCATAATGCCGCGTAATCAGTCATCACCCGAGTGCTGCGTACAACAGTGCACATTTCAGGCATCGCTAAACAAACGAGACGTCGACAGCCTCTTAACTACAAGCGAAGCCAGCCACAGTGAACATGTCAGCCCTGCATGCACACAAGCTCCGACCATGCCTGGATATAGTATGCAAATTCGGGCATTCAAAGGATATGATCAGTAACTTACGCGCGAAAACAAACTGAGTTTAGAGCGACCATAAAAGTCGGGTTGGTAATAACAAGACAGTGAAATGACATGACACGGCGGTCTAGCGATTATGAAACTCGGCAGCAGGCCTCATTGTTGTGGGCTGTAATTCGAATATCGTCATCTTAGGCAGCTGCATTTTGAAATGATAGAGACTCATGTATTCAGATTCTGAAAAAAAAAAGAAGGGCTGAAAACTTCTCGAGTTCTTTAGTGCTGCGTCTCTCATAGTCATACGGTGGTTTTGACACGGCGAAGATTAACAGTCATTACTTGACAAAAATGAAACTTCCTTTGTTTTTTGCAGAAAGGGGAAAAAAAGAACTTATAGGGAGTGTTGCGTGATACCTACGAATTCGGTAAGCAACCTCCTCGGACATCTACCGTATATCTATTATAGAGTTAAGGGCTCGTTTACTTTTGGGTAGGATTAGACTTCGGCAGCGACCGCAGCAGACGTAGTGAAAAAGAGCTGACCAATAACACCATTTGCCTGCCAAACGGCCAAGGTCTATTCCTGCTACAAGTATTTTGGCCCGGCATCAAGATTGTCACGCGACGCTACCTCACATCCTTTGGCTTTTTCCTTACTTCATCGGGTTATGTAAGCACGGTCTTATGCAACTTGATAATTACGTCCCGAGAGGCCACGCCTAGAAAATCGAATCATAAACGTGCAAGCTGATCACCTCCCCACGACAAAAGAAATAGTCGCGTTCAGGCACTCGGCTATATTTTCCGATACCGGTGTCACCGGTCATCTGGATCATGACGTCAGTCTGGAGTGCACGCTGATTGGTTGCAGCTTGGGTGCTCCCCCTTCGAGGAGTGAGTTCCGCAGAAAAAGAAAGAAAAAATGAAGGCCGGGAGGTTAACTAGGTGCTAGAATATGATAATTCATCCGGCACTAGGGTTAAGAAATAAAAAGTTAGAGGGAAAACACGACAGAAAGAAGAAAATAAAAAGAACAGAACGCACACACGCACGAAAACTGTCCATTGAGAATCGTTTACACAAGACAGTAATTCACGTAAAGCCCAAGTAGCTTTTTCACGGCGTTATTCTGTGATGTGGAGCTTAGACGATGGCATAATATTCTTTCTTCTCGTGAAGGCTTTCTCATTAGGTTAGGGCTCTCTGTCCTCTAGCACGCGTGCTTAGCCGTGCTCGTTTATGGGCTGTAGAAAACAGCAGCTGCAGTTAGGAGCGAAGATCCTAACACCGCCGGTTGTATGTCCCGTGTCGTCGCAGTAGTAGCCACCTCTCGTTTAGTCCTTAGAATGTTCGCTGGAAGGCGGTACTTTCATATGATGAATATATGATGAAAACATGCAAAATGGGGGCACTAGGAGTGTTCCCTAGACGGACGGATGGACGGTCGCACGAACGGATAAACAGACGGACGGATGGTGAGATGGATGGACATACACACAGACGAACGCATGGACGGACAGAGGAATGCATGGACGGCTGAACGGACATTTTATTTTTCTTTATGACAAGGGCCCTGCCGCCACCCACGTGTTCTGCAACTACCTGCGGCTACACTAAGGAACTTCCTATTCCCTTTTCAATACGACGCTCACGTCTACAAGACGGAGCACTTCCACGGAACTTGACTACGGGTGGCAGAAGCCATCCACTACTCATCCTATTAATTATTTCATCTTTATATTTTTATTTCCATCTTCCATTAGCGCTAGAGACGCTGAGACGTTGTCTCATTTCGGGCAGCGGAAGCTGCGTATTTTTTTTTCCTCAACCTCTCTTCCTCCTTTTCAGACACTGCTGCTACTTTAAAGCGTTCTCAACTAGGTTTTTACCCAAATTTATGTCCCTAATGTATGTACTATCCTTCTGCATTTGTTAATGAAAGTTCAGATAAAAGTGATTGGCATTGGTCCAAATTCTCTGTAAAGAAAATTTAAAGTGAAAGACAAGTGATATCTGAACATAAGCAGCTAACTGAAATAACAAATGTACCTGTGACGACTTCGACAAATCTGTAGAGTGGCATCTGCTAGCGGCGCGTGTCGACATTTGCCAGAAGATAACGGTCCACCTTCTCGTGTTCCCTCGATAGCTTCTCAGGCCATCCCTGGGCTGGCGGATGCCCGTAATGTCAAGCCAGCCTCCGAAGAAGGCGCGCTAGGCTTCGACGTAGTCGTCCCCGAGGAGACTAGTACAGAAGACGTCGTTGACGCGACGTCTTCATAATTAAGAATCGAAGAGGTCTACTGTGTACAACACTATGGAGGTCAAAATTACGAAGTCCGCGTTAACAGTAAGGCCGCTGTGGCTCAAATCGTCGACGCGTCCTACCTCATCATCAGAGGAGAGCGCGTTGCTGTCGTACCCTTGGGACACCAAGTCACTCAAGTCACCGTTATGTTCCTGCCGTACCGCGTCCCCAGCGAGGTTCTCGCGCAAGTGTTGTTTCCCTTCGGGAAGGTGCTGCACATCAGCAGAGGACTCATGGGGTCGCGCCCAATCGTGACCACTGGGACGTGATTCGTGTGGATGGAAATGAAGATATCGTCGCCGGTGCCCAACTACCTCAAGGTCGCAGACCATTGAGTGACCTTTGACTATAAAGGGATCCAGTGGGTGTGCCGTCGATGTGGAGACAGTGGGAACTTCCGCATGTACTGCTCAGCTCCGTCTTGTGTAAGGTGTGGCGTTTACGGCCACGACGGGAAGGGCTGCTCGCTGCCGTGTCACCGTTGTGGTGACCCGCATGCCACCGTCACCTGCACCATCAGGCCGTCGTATTCCGAGGCGGCCTCCAAGAATTACCTGCCACCTCAACCAAGCAAGAATAAGGACGTCGTATCATTGACACCAGGCCCGGATATTTGCCAGGATGAAGTTGGGCGCATCACAATGCCACACCAGACGCTACACCAAACGCCCGCAGTGTCTCCAGCCAGCCCAGACCAGGAAGCCCCTCTGGTTGCGAATGATTTATCTAGCGGCCCGCGAGCAGTGGTGATTCCCACAAAACCACAAGTCCAGTCCTCGCCAGAGGAGGCGTCTCTCGGTGAACGCGTCGTAGATGATGACGGCATATCTGATGATCACCCCATGCCTGCCCAGTCTTCTTTTAGCCCTATTGTTGAAGAGACTGTCCCAAGGTGACGAGGTTTCCATCAACGAGGACTCGAGCAGCACTAGGAGTGAGACGGCCCTGCAGATAGACACCGGCAACACTCCAAGCGAGATCAGCCGGGACAGATTAGACGAAGTTGTGCTATCTTCGCTCAAGAGCCTCCGCCCCAAGCGCCACCGAATATCCAGCAGCGACTCGGAGGCCTCCAGCAGAGACAGAAGTCCCCTGTGGACTTCGATGCGGCCCCGGAAGCCCCAGGCTTCCGGTGGGTCGCCTGGTCGTAAGAAGTGATTGAGCAGCTTGCGGGGCACCCGCTCCCACGTCTATCAGAACTGTGAGTTTAGTATTCAAATTTGTCTTTATTGTTTACGATGGCTACCGCATTGAATATTATTTCCTTAAACGTAAAAGGTTTTCGCAGTCCGGTAAAGCAGGCCGAGGTGATTAGTGCAGCCAGTGATGCTAATTGTGATGTTTTGTGCCTGCAGTAAACCAACTTTTTTTCACTGTCCGACGTTAGGAACAGACGTTTAACTTAGATTGTTAGTTTTCTTTTGCTACAGCTCGTTTTACGGAAGTAGGTATCATTATATTTATTACGGGCTTTATTGAGAGGTCACCACGTTGTTTATGACGGCTTCGGTAAAATTATGGCTCTAGATTGTACCTACTTTTCTTTTCGAATTAGGATACTATGTGTGTATGCGCCTGTACAAACCGGACAGTCTATTAATTTTTTTTCAAAATTTGTTTGTTTTTTCCTAGACGCTCGCCACGTAATTCTAATTGAAGACTTTAACTGTGTGTTAAATACGCGATACGATGTACAAGGTCCTGGCTGGGGTAGGTCTGCTTAGAATTCACGCGAGCTGTGACGCCTTGTCCAGCATTTTTTATTGCTGGATGCGCATAATGTCATGCACGGCAATACTTTTGTTTCGACATGGTGCTGCGGACCGTCCTCCTGCAGACTCGACCGGGCTTATATTCAACATGCTTTCGAGAAGTTTGTCTCTGACTTACGTGTTCCGCCCATCCCACCTTCGCATGTGTACATCTCTGACCATCGTCCAATTCTCTTAGAGCTAAAAAAATCCATTTTTATTTTCGGGGAAACCATGTCGTCTTGATGTTCGCGTCCTCCAGGACGCGTGCTTTCAGTCAAATTTGTCCGTGCAATACGGGTGTCACTCGCTGCGCCTGATCCATTTCATTGGGATGCGCTTAAAACGCAGTGGCGCCTGCACTGCTCAGTTGAAGGGCGTTCACTTCGTTGTCACGTTCCGAGGAGCTGGGCGATACTGTATCGAAGTTACGCATTGCCTTGCGCGCCGAAACGCCGTCTTTCCTGATGCAAGCTTGGCAACATGAATCACATGAACGCTTCCAGTGTTTGATTGCAACCTCGTCCCTGGTGGCGGCTGCATGGCGTTGTAGGCACAACCCTTGTGCTCACCCCGAGGTGCTACGGTATGCGAGGCAATCATGTTTTGGGCAGTCAAAATCACCTTTTTTAGGGGCGAAGCTCTTTATAGCGGCACTTGTTTGTCCCTCGTAGCCATTGTAGTAGTGTGTAACAAGTATAACATTTTCACCTGCATGGTGGTGCGGGTGAAATATTTCTTCTGTGCGTTGCTGAACAAGAAAAGATAGTGCTCAATGTACATGCCAATGGCTCCTAAACGGGAATTAGAGACAGGAGAATTCGGCTTTTGGTGAATGCGCACGCTGCCATTTTTTATTGTTCAACAACGCACAGAAGACAAGAAAGGGTTGCTACGTTATACTCGCTGGGCGTAACCTCCTAGGTCTTAGAAAGGTTTAGCGAGCGTTGGGCCTCAGTGCCATGAATACAGTGAACTAGTATATACCATGAACTCGAGGTGGTTAAAGGTGGCAAGTAGACACGAAGCGCAAGCTCTAAGAAAGTGTGCATGTGCCTCCTCTCGTTCAGTCCTTGGAAAGTCCGCAGGATGGCGGTGCTTCTATATGAGAAATATATGATGAAAAGATGCGAGATGGTGGTACTTGGAATGTTGAGTAGGTGGACGAACGGCCACACAGACAGATGAATGGACGGACGCACGCATGGCTGCACGGACGGATGGACGCACGGACGGACGCAGGAGTGGATGCATGGACGAAAGCAGAGACGGAAGCACGGATGAACGTGCGGACGCACGAACAGACACACACTCGGACGGGCGGATGGATGCATGGGCGGCCACACAGACACACGCATGGATGGACGGGTGCTTCGCCCCACTATCCATCATTCCCTCCATAGATATGCTGCCATTTTTTATGACCACGCAGGCACCACCTACACAGCCGCTTCCTACGAGTGTTCGATCTATCTTTCTGGCGCATTTTGAAGAGATGTCATGTTCAGTCATGCAGACAAACTGTGATATAATACCACCTATGCTTAAAGGCTTGCCTCGCGTTCCCCAACAAGCTGCTGATTCTCTGCACGTCGCTCCATCAGTCGAAGAGGTAAAGGCAGCACTACAATCTATGAAACGGGTGACAGCCCCTGGGTCAGATAATTTTCCAGTTGAATTTTACTTGTCATTTAGGAATGAACTCGGTACTGCCTTAACCGCGGTTATCCGGCGATGTTTCGAGGATGGTATTTTTCCATCAAGTTTTCGAGATGGACGCATTGTGCTTATTCGAAAAGGTAATGCTTCCTCTGTTAATCCTGAAGATTGGAGACCTATCACGCTTCTTAACGTTGACTATAAGATATTCGTGATGGTGATCGTTCATCGTTTGAAGGCTCTGTTGAACACCCTGGTAGGTCATCGTCAGGCTTCATCAATGTCTGGACAAGAAATACACAGCTTGTCCTTTACCACCCGAGATATCACAGCCTATACACTGTCGCGATCTGCGCGTGGTCTCCTTGTGTCTTTGGATCAAGAGAAAGCATTTGACCGACTAGAGCACACGTATATCTTTAAAGTGCTCACAGCCCTTGGTTTTCCTGGTACTTTGTAGAAATAATTAGACATACCTACTCTGGTATAAAAAGCACACTACTTCTAGATGGTTGGGAGAGTGCTGCCTTTTCTATTACACGTGGAGTCCGTCAGGAATGTCCATTGTCTCCTGTTCTATTTTTCCTCAGCGTTGAGGAATTTTTTGTGTGCTCTAGAAATGTATTCACATATCCGGGGTCTTGCGCTTCCAGGAAGCAGTGCGGTGAAAGTTACAGCTTTTGCTGACAACATAACCCTGTAACTTTCACATAAAGATAGTCTTCACATAGCCTGCGTTTATTCTTTCAGTATGGCGACATTTCAGGTGCCGCGCTAAACCTCTCTAAATCCCGGTATTTGTTCATCGGCTATCCTAACTCCAGACTTAGCTCCACATCTCTTCTTCAGCCGGCTGCGTCTCTTCGCATTTTAGGAATTCTATACAACCACTACGGCGATTGTAACTCCGTTTGGTCAAACACCCTCGATGAAGTAAAACAAAAAATTGAGAACGCCCGGGATTTCAACTTCCCGCTTTTTGAGCGGAGGTACCTTGCGCAGACTGTGTTCTGCGGTCGCACTTAGTAACTTTCTCACGTAGAACAGCCGCCTCTACGCATCGTGAGGTCATTGCAGTCTAGGCACATTAGGCACTAAATACCTTCGGTATTTAGTGCCTAATGTGCACCTTAGTCGGGGCCCTCAATTAGTAGTACTTCTTTTCGTTTTATGCAACAGCTGTCGCGTTTTTTCGTCATATCCAGTCGACTTGCCCTGCGGTAGATGTGTTAGACAATCCTATCGTTGACAGCAACCGCCGCTTGTTGATCCCTGTTAATTCCTCCGGCACGCCGCACGCGCTCTAGTCGTGTGTGCTTGGAGCACGCTGACGGCATCATTTCTACCTGGCCACCTCCGGGACTTCATGTGGCGGCTGGGGTGGGGCGTTTTTTCTACCCTTGACCGCCTCGAAAGGTAGAGAATGGTACCAGTCATCAACATGTCCGAACTGCTTCCTACGAGAAACAAATCAGCATGTTTTAAGACAAGTGCAGTCGTTGCTAGCGTTTTCTGGAGGGCTGTGCATGCAGGATTTCGTGGCCTCAGAGTAAACTGCTTTGTTTCTTCTGGACGTCGTTCTCGAGGCCGCTTCGCCTGCCTTCTCATTATTGCTGGTGCCTACTGTCTTCGGCGTCACCGCTCTGAGGCTGTTGAAGCGGGTCGTCGCCGCCGTGCTCTCTTCCCGATTTTGGAGCGACTGTACAGAAAAAATACTATCTGTTTTGTCGCAGGAACTCTTATTTTTGGGTGAAAAAGAATTCCTTCGACACTGGTCCTGCCCTTTTGTGTTCGTCTGCGAGAGACGTGTAAGGCTTGTTTTCAGGCCTGCCTAGTACTGGTAGGTTAATCTTTGTTTAGTACTCACACAAATACCTTGTAAATACTATGTAAATATCTGACATATGGATCTTTACATTTCA